ATTCTAAGCACCATTATCTTCTCATGCCTTAAAAGCATAGGAGATTAAAGATTTTCAAAGAAATTTGAGACTTGGCTGGGAGTTGGTTAAAGTAAGAAGCAAGGGCCTGAAGAAGAGACATCCGAGGTGGTTTGAAAGGAAGTAAGCAAAGAGTCACCCAGCATTGTCAGGAAGTAAGGAATGAGGCAGGAGAGAGAGACCAAGAGGAGGCGAGAGAGGAAAATTACACTCTGACTCCCTCCAGGGTGACCAACGGTCTTAAGCCTTGGCTGGGGTAGCTAAAAGCAACCTCTCCATCACCAAAGCATCTGAAGCAATAATTTCTACCAAGTCATCTCACCACTCCAGAGAATGGTAGTTTTAGTTCTTAGCCATAAGTAGAGGTGATAGACAGCAAGAGTGAGGATGGAGAAAAGCGTTGGTAAGAGAAGTGACAGAGCATGAGTCAGGCATTAGGACAACTTAACTGGTGCAACATTAATACTTATGCAATGTGTACTATAGGCATAAATTGCTAACAGTATACTATGCATTAATGAACTTCTAGAAAAATCGTTCTATAAAACCTTTTCGATATTAAAACTTCTTTGTTCTTCCTTGACTTTTTGAAATCTTTCATCTTTCTCAAATTGCACACAGACAAGTTCTTCTTCCATGTGTTTATATTTTTCTTGAAACCTGTGTGTAACCCGCATCAGATTGAAATCAGTTTGACGTGGTATCAGGTTTCTAAGTCTCTAAATAAAGAAAGGATTTCAAGAGATTCTGGTATTAGAGAATAAAGAACACACTGTCATTATAAGCACACATAAAATCTGTCTTCAAAGTAAAATTTCTAGGAATTACCATTGTTGATGGTTAAAATACATTAAAGCCCAATACCAATCACGTGTACTTTAACTGAAAGCAGTAAAAAAAGATTTAAATTCCTTATTACAAAATAGTCTCATAGATACTTTTATAGTTAGATTTTTTTGCAGTGAGTTAAATTTTCAAAGAATGGTATATGTATTCTTGGAAATACATTTTCACAAAAGTAACTTCTAAAAAACCAGTTTCACCACATAAGAGATAATATAAGAAGTCAGATTCTTCCCATTACTTAGGTCACTCTTTGGCAAAACATGAAGAAACATTAAAACTTTCAGGCCACTGGAAATGACAGTGCAGCAGCAAAAGAAGGTGAACTCTTAAAGATGATTATAATCTTTAGGGGGACTACAGAATAACATGGTAATGTATTTAATTAAGCTTTTATATCCAAAAGCCATCTCCTTAGAAGTTAAAGACTTACTAAAAAATAAATAGTATCATTGGGCAAATCATTTTGGCTCTTCTCTTTTGAAATTGCTTCAGTAGATACTGTCACTTACTCAAAAGAACAAGTGAAAACCTTTGAGATATCCTTAAGCCCTTACATGCCCACCTGCCCTTCTCACTCAGAAAATGGCCTTGCCTTCATCTTCACAGAGCAATGAAGATGTGAACTCTCAACTTTCTACCTCTCCACTTCAACATGTACCACATTCAGCAAATATCTATTAAGATATCACAAAGCCTAATGGTTAAGTGTGTGGCTTCTAGAGTCAGATAGCCTAGGTTTGAGTTTCAGCTCTACCACCTACTAGCTGTATGAATTGGACAAGTTACCTAACCCTTCTGTGCCTCAGTTTCATCACCTACTAAGACAGAATAATAATAACACTTATCTCATACAGCTGTTGTGAAGATCAAGTGAGATAATATACATTGTGCACCAGGAACAGGGCTTGGTACATCACTCTGTGCTTTCAATAAATTTTAGCCATTATTAATATTACAATGTAATAAACACCACATCTCTCCCATCTGGTATCAAAGAACAAGCCATGTCTACTTTTTTCTACATATAAACGCCCCTCCACCTGAATTACTGATTGCATCTTCCTCTTTTCTTCCTCAGAGGACCTCCTGCCAAGATGTGTGCCTCATACTAGACTTTCATATCTCTTGCCAATGATTCTTTTTTTAACCAGCAAGTTGTCCCAGTCTATATATCCATAAATGAAACAAATCAATAACCTTATGCTTCCTTTCAGCTTCTCTCCTTCCAGTTGCTGTATTTATTTTCTCTTCTCCTTTACCTCTACTTTTCTTGAAAGGATAATCTATGCCCCCTTCTTTCTTATCTCCAATTCACTCTCCAATTTACTGCAATCTGGCTGTTACTACCACTCTACTGAAGCATGTTACTCTCTCTAAAATGAAAACTCTAAGATGGTTGGGGTTCTCTGGGTGGCACAAAGAGTTAAGAGTTTAACTCCTAGCCAAAAGTTTGGTGGTTCAAACTCACCCAGAGGCTCTTTGGAAGACAGGCCTGGCAATCTGCTTCCAAAAGGTCACAGCCCTGAAAACCCTATGGAGCAGTTCTACTCGCACACATGGGGTGGCCATAAGTTGGAATCAACTTGATGGCAATTAACAATGACAACAACAAAGAGGGTTTAGACTTCTCCTGTGTTGTTCACTTGTGGCACCTAACATAAAGTAGGCACTCAATAAATATTTGTTCAATGAATGAATGATTGACTCTGAAAGATCACCCATGGCCAACATTAAACCAATGGTCTCTGAGTGATCCTCTTGTAGCACTTGCCATTG